TGTATATATGTGATATTGACATCCAATGGGATGATTTCTTTGCAACTCTTTGGTCCAAGAAGGTAGCTTCTTTGGGATTGCTGACACATTGGACCTTACAGAAGTTATAACAGAAAGAGACCTGGTGTAAGAGTCTGTATTTTCATCCTGACTTTGCTGGGTGATCTCTCACGCCTGTCATTTACCTTCTGGATGCTTTCATTTCTGTTGTAAAATGAGGATGTTACATAGGTTCACCGAAAGTTTATTGTGGAAATCAAATACCTAATTCATAGGGTTATTGAAAGGAACAGGAGACTTTTAAAGGATGTGGAAACACTATAAAGTGCTATAAGAGTGTTAGACATTATCATTATAATTATAGTGACCTATTTTCCAAACCCAAATTGGACCACATGGTATGAGAGAGGATTTTTGTGCCACTTCCAAGGGCGAGAGGCAGTCTGCAAAATGTGAGTCAGATGCCAGGATATTGAAATTTCTGGCACATTTTGATGGTTTATGGGAGCAATGATAAAATATCTGAAATAGTGGCTGTTCAGTAAAATTTATGATGTGTGATCACTATAATTATATTTCTTTGCAAAAGGTATTTCATTTCTCATATAAGTAGAAGTTCTTTGGTTTCACAAAATCTCAGAGCCTGGAAAGACTTTCAGAGACTCTCCTTCAGTTTCCTATTCTAAGTCTCCAGGGCAAATGGTGGGTGAAGATTAAGGGGGAAGCAAAGTTTATAGTCTCCCTTAGTACAGTAGCTTCTCTTATTGTTGAATATCTTTACCTCAGAATTTCTGTACTTTAACTGTTATCACCTTCATTTTTCGCCTTAAAAAAACATAACTAACATAGCCTCATGTAGGAAAAGAATAATTCTTTTAATAGAATTTTTTTTTTTTTGTAAAGGATAACAATACAAAAAATGTTGAAAAAATGGCTGTTGGAACTCTCTGGCAGAAGGGCTTAAACCCCTTATGGGCCATAAACATTCAATTCATTTCTTCTAGAATATGTTATGTTTCTTGGATGATAACTACAAAAGTATATTACATTTCCTTTGGTTTAGCACCATAATGAGTCCATATGATGTCTGGCATCAAATTCTACCTAGAAATTTAAAATTTTCAGTTATTTATTCCTTGGGGTTCTTTGCTTTCCTTATTTCTTTATTCTTCTTTTTTGTTTTGTTGAGAGAGAGAGAGAGAGAGAGAGCGAGAGAGAGAGAGAGAGAGAGAGGAGGGAGAAAGAATGAGAATTTATTGTTCCACTTACTTATGCATTCATTGGTTGATTTTTGTGTATGCCCTGAATAGGGATCAAACCCCCAACCTTGGCTTATTGGGACGATGCTCTAACCAACCATAAGACATGTCTTAATTGATTTTAGAAAGAAAGGGAGAGAGGGAGAGAGGGAGAGCGGGAGAAAGGGCGAGGGGGGAGAGAGAGAGAGAGAGAGAAAGGAAGAGAGAAAGAGAGAGAGAAAGGGAGAGAAACATCTATCGGTTGCCTCTTGTACATGCCTGACTAGGGGTCACACTGGAAACCCAGTTATGTGCCCTGGGTTTTGAACCCACAACATTTTGGTGTATGGGACAATGCTTCAACCAATTGAGCCCCCTGGCCAGGGCAGGGCCGCTTTCTTAATACAATAGTGTGTAAGTCAGAGGTAATAGTTTATTTCTTGTGCTTACACTAAAAGAAACCTTTGGTGTTTGTTTTCCTCTTCTTTCAATGAAAGTCTTGTTCCTCCTGTCATGAAAGGTTTGAGATTTATGGCTTGAGGCTTTATAAACCTTTTGTTTTCTACTTTTGAAATCACATATTGAAACATTAAGGAGTTTATTTTCTTTTCAATGATAAGAAAGGGAATGTTTTAGAGCAGTGATGGCGAACCTTTTGAGCTCGGCGTGTCAGCGTTTTGAAAAACCCTAACTTAACTCTGGTGCCATGTCACATATAGAATTTTTTTGATATTTGCAACCATAGTAAAACAAAGATTTATATTTTTGATATTTATTTTATATATTTAAATGCCATTTAACAAAGAAAAATCAACCAAAAAAAAATGAGTTCGCGTGTCACCTCTGACACGCGTGTCATAGGTTCACCATCACTGTTTTAGAGTGTATTTTCACTGATATTTATAGTAACTTGAATATCATGGTTCATATTGATTCACGAAGTTTCTGAGTGTTCAGCACAAACCATAAACTAAATGATACAGTTAAGATGCCCAAATAATATGAATTTGGTGTTAATAATCCAGTAGAGGTTTTAGTTTGTATCTAAATGTGTGAAACTTCTGGATTTCATCCCTGGGATTGGTTCTGAAAGACTGAATGGATTTGCAGCTCAACTAAAACAAACACATCTATATGCTGACTGGGAGGTTGCTCCATGAATTATGCATCTGTAGCCTTTGTGTCACTTCAGAGGTTCGGCAGAACTGGAGAGAGAGGTGCCCAGATACAAATGGTCTAAAAAATTGGATATGGTGGCCAGGAGTTACTATGCAGAAGATTTTCTGTCTTGGCACAGTTCTCTGAGAGCTTGGGGCAAATAGCCCACATAGACCAATAGGATGGCTTGAACTTGGCTTTTAAAACTGTTGGAATTGTTTTTTTGATGCAAGGTGTAATCCTTATCCTTGGAGATTTCTGCCGTCAGACCACTAATGGAGGACCTGGGTCTGTGTGCTTAGGGACTGTCATTCTCCAGTCCAGGCACTGAGCTCAGTGAAAGAAATTGGGTGTTAGGGGAGACTGATGCCTCATTAAAGAGATCACTTTTGATTGAGCAGAGCAGCATTTAGCTGAGTCCTCCTCAGTGGTATTCCAGAAGTTGCTGAGCTTATTATACATATCGATCATATCATCTTTGTGCATTCATGAAAGGAATGTCTATTTAATGTGGACATGACCAGCCATCAGCGAGAATAAATGCCTCACTAGAGCTTGATATGGATGACTGTTGGCCTCACGGATGGTAACCCTGAATCAATCTGGCTAGATTTTTTTTAATTGCTTGTGCACTGTACCATCACAGGTTGACCCAGTTGGAGCTCTAAGCTTAAGTGAGTACGAAAGCAAAAAAATCTAGCATCCTGTGGGTGGTTTGAAATGCCAGGTTTGTTTTTGTGGACTCAGTAGTGTAATATCATTTTTTTAAAAAAATAATGCAACCTCTGCTGAAATCCAGTTGTGAAAATTTTTAAAAAAATATATTTTATTGATTTTTTTACAGCGAGGAAGGGAGAGGGATAGAGAGTTAGAAACATCAATGAGAGAGGAACATCGATTAGCTGCCTCCTGCACACCCCCCACTGGGGATATGCCCGTAACCAAGGTACATGCCCCTGACTGGAATCGAACCCGGGATCCTTCGGTCCGCAGGCTGACACTCTATCCACTGAGCCAAACCGGTCAGGGCCCAGTTGTGAAATTTAAGAGAACATGGAACTCACACATTGAGCCTATGAGCACTTTGGTTTAACCTGGGTTCTTTGTTTCAGGTATATAAATTATACATCCCTGTGTAATGCAGAAATGATAGCTTCTAGGGAGAATGAGAAATGACTTTGAAAAGACAGAGGTTAGAATATACAGATTTCTAGCTCAGACTAGGAGGCTCAGGCTGCCTTGTCATATGGAGATGCTTTTAAAAATTCATTCAATAAACATTTATTAAACTCTTATTCTGTAATGTAGATTCCTTCTTCTTATTTTAAAAATGTTTTCCAGCTTTATTGAGTTATAATTGACACATAACTGTGTAAGTTTAAGGTGTACAGGGGTTGATTTAATACATTTATGTATTTCAAAATTATTACCACTATAACATAAGCTACTACCTCCATCTGTCACATAGTTTAACATTTCTTTTTGTGGTCAGAACATGTAAGATCTACTCTCTTAGCGATATTCAAGTATGTGAAACAGTATTATTAGCTATAATCATTATGCTGTAAATTATATCCCCAAACTTTTAAATCTTATAACTGGAAGTTTGTACCCATCAACCAATATCTCTCTATTTCCCTGGATAGAGATTCTTTAAGGCCCATTAAGATCATTAACAAACACAGTCTCACATCTTGCTTCCAGATCTAGCAGTTGACAAATTCATAAAACATAGTCACCTGATATGAAGGCTTTAAATCTGTCCAAGTAGATCCATTATTTTCACAGTTTGATCTCTATACTAACAACAGCACCTTATATTTAGATATTAATTTATAACTCAGAAAGTTTTCATACATTATCCAAAATTTGGGTTGACTCGAAATGTTAAAGTTATTTGGTACTTTCATATTACATGTCAAAAGACAATCACCGTGTCCTTTGATTTCATGGAGGATGAATCTGTCACTAATGAAATTGATAAAGCAAATTATGCATTTATTTTTAAAGAATACTCTTGAAAAGGGAAAGTAAAAAAGGGAAACCCTTGTCACTCAGTGGTACTATTAATAAAATTTTTCTTCATTCATTAAAATAAACGGAGAACCTTGTAGCCTATTTAGCTTTCTGTGTGGTAGTGTTGACAATTAAATAATTTCTTTGCTGAGGTTTTGCTTTATCTGAGATGAATTCGAAAGCAATTCTAACTTACATTAATCTGAGCCACAAAAGGTCAATTAGTTGTTTTCATTTTCAAAAAAATTTTTAGCTGTTTTTGTGCTATACCTTTTAATATTTTTGTATTAGTGTGGTATACACTTTGCAGAGGAAGATGCTAAAATTGTGTTTGTTTGTAAGCAAAATTAATGCCCTTTTTCTTATTATCTTTAAATTGCAAATGTCTGAAGGCCTGTCATAATTTGACGTGTCATCCTGAGATTTAAATGCATTACAATTTTGAACAGGATTTGAAAAATGAACATGCCCCTAGGGGAGGTGGGTAGAGGCTGGTAGTAAACGGGTAGTGCAAATGGAATTTGACTTATGCATTCTTTTCAAATAGTTATTAATTATATAAATAAGTAGCTTATGCTTCTCTTTCAGAACTTTGCAGAAAACACCATGAATGAACTCCTTGGCTGGTATGGCTATGATAAGGTTGAATTGAAAGATGGTGAAGATATTGAATTCAGGAGCTACCCTACAGATGGAGAGAGCCGGCAGCACATTTCTGTTCTCAAAGGTAATGACATTTAATGTGCCTGTGCTCATGCCAAGAAGGATTAACTATCTCAACTTGCCAGAATTGAGCTGCTTTGGGACTCATTTTGTTGATTATGCCAATGGTTGATTTACACGCACATCCCCAGTGGTGTTTTCCCATAAGCAGAATTCCACGGAATGTAAGAGCACAACATAAAACAAAGGTAGACACAGCTTGATCTCCTTCCAGCAGCGGAAGAGCTAGCTAGACAAGGGCTAGGAACCTTGAGTGCTCTAGTCCTGCCCACAAATGTATAGAGAGGGATAATGTTTGCTAACTTCTCCTGCTTTTCTAAGCCCTTTGATATATGAATTGTTGGAGTCTGGTGCTTTCTGTGATGTGAGATGCTAGGTTTAGATTTTCAGATGCAAGAGAGTATGATGGTTACTTTGGTAATTCCCCCGACCCCCCCCACCCCATTTTTTTGGTGGGAATTCTAAAGGAAAGCCCTATTTCTGTTTCGTGTTTGAAGTTTTTATCCTTCCCACATCCCCAATACCTGTGGGTAGGGTAGATAGAAGAGTAAGAACATAGTAGATGGTTGGATCGTGTATTATTCTATAAGAAGTTCCTTAAAGCCCAGCCAAAGAGTGGAAATTAGAGGCTTGACAGAGTTGAATTAACACTGATTCTGCTGGTGGTAGCAGAACCAGATGTCTCATCATGAGGGAGCTTAGGACCATCAGGAGGTGTTTTATGGATACTGAACTTATGAACCTAAATTTGGAAGCAATGTCCAGGAAAAGAAGAGGAATATGTGAAGAAGCAATTTGAGGAACTTTAATAAAATGTGGGTAAAACTAATTGTGTGTTGTCATTGGCAATTTGATTAGTATTTGCATTGCATTCCGAGTCTATTGGCATAAACTACCTGTTCATGCATTTTGTTTCCAGTCTCTAAAATAGCACTTTTCCTTATTATATGCCAAGCCACGAACTATAAATGAGCTGTCCTGCAGGCATGTGGAATTGAATGTACGTGACAAATTTTATGTTAAGCTTTCTATGAAATTGTACACATCACGTTATGGCAATAGTATCAATTTCACTTGTAAATGAAAAATACAAGTTATGAGTGCATATTCTATAAACTAATATCTCATAAAATACTTGGTCTAGGTAATAATCTTTCCCTCTGTGGAACAGGAGTACCAGGATATGCGACTAAAGGGACAAAGTTGTTTTCTATGGTTAAGGTGTTTGTTTGTTTTTTAAATGATTGACATGCAAAGATAAAATTCACAAATTATAAAATTCATATTATTGTAAGTTTTCTTTATTTTTATTCTTGTTCATTTTTAATTGATATTAATGAGTTAATTTAATGGTTCTATCCTGTGCAACAACAGTTTTGTTCCTAATCATTTGTTTTTCTTTTGATTATATTATGGACCAAGTTTATAATACACTGGAACCTAGTTACAGTGCTGGGTGGGTGGGGCACTTTTTCAGCTTTCCCCCGGTAGACAGAGAGTGATGCCTGCTATACATCACTTTGTACATGGAAAAGGTTAATTGCCTCTCAATTTTCTATGGGCTTTTACAGTGCTAAAATTCATCATCATGATGCAATTGGGATGTTAGCTATCATAGCAGGGCAAATTATAAAGGAGCCCATTGGAAATTTATGGCAACAAGCCTGAACAGGTCCTGGATGGTTTGTAGAGTTCTGGTAAAGTGTTTAAAGGTTTGCTAGGAAAATATGTTTTGCTACAGAGCTATTTTACTAGAGAAAATGCGGTCATAAGGGAAATAAAGTTCTTTTGTCATGCTGAATGTGATTTCTTTTCTTTTACAGAAAATTCTTTGCCAAAACCAAAATTACCCGAGGACAGTGTTATTTCACCATACAATATAAGCACAGGCTATTCGGGGCTTGCCACAGGAAATGGACTCAGTGACTCACCTGCAGGGTCAAAGGATCATGGCAATGTGCCCATTATTGTACCTTTAATTCCACCACCTTTCATAAAGCCACCAGCAGGTAAGTCATGACTGGGGTTTCTAACAATAATGACTCATAGAAAGTTGTTTTAACTATCTTAAAAATAATGATCAAGCTCGAGTTAATTTTGGAAAAACTTTTAGAAACTTCATAGATAAGAAATGTTAGTGCATGTATTCTTTAAAGTAGTATTACTATTTTAAGCAAAAGCTCCAATTTATTGCCTAGGCCCGTGGTCGGCAAACTGCGGCTCGCGAGCCACATGCGGCTCTTTGGCCCCTTGAGTGTGGCTCTTCCTAAGCCTTAGGAGTACCCTAATTAAGTTAATAACAATGTACCTACCTATATAGTTTAAGTTTAAAAAATTTGGCTCTCAAAAGAAATTTCAATCATTGTGCTGTTGATATTTGGCTCTGTTGACTAATGAGTTTGCCGACCACTGGCCTAGGCTGTAAACTTTCAACCTACAATAAATTTTTTCTGCCACTGGCTACAAAAACGTATTTTCCTTCTCTGAAATCATCTGTTTGAAATAAAAATAAAATAATTTTTAAAATAAGATCTACACTGACTGGTTAGCAAGAAAAGAAGTAAGCCTGGTTGGTAGTCTTGAGGGCCAGGTCTCCTCTATGGGTTTCTAAAGGAATGGGCAGTTTTGTGAGGCTCTCAAAGACCTTTCTAGGAATTAGAAAGAACTCTATGGCAGAGATGGGTAATCTAGGTTGTTTCTTAAGTGGGTTTAGAAGAAGGAACTTTGAAGAAGAAGTTAAATGGCCTTTTGCAAGACCCAGTTTGCATAGGCCAACTAAAAAGAAGAGGGGTGACTAATTTTATAAATGTAAGGTTCATGCTTGAATGGATGTCCAGTGGCTTAGGTGAGTGATGATGGTGATGAGGGTATCATTATGGCAGTGCGACTCAGTGAAAAGAACACAGCTTTCAGACTTAGGCAGCTTGGGTTCAAATTTAAGCTTTGTCGCTTACCAGCTTTGTGAACATGGACTAATTACATAAACTCTCTTCTTCTCAGTTTCCCCATCTGTAAAATGGGGATCGCAGTTCCATGCCAGGGGATTTGCTGTGTCCCTGAGTTGAGAAAATGTATGCAAAGCTCCTTAACATGGTGCCTGCCAAACAAAAGCCATTTAATTTTTTCCCTTTTTCAGTTTTCAGTCAGCCCTAGAGTTATCATGCACATAATTTGTGCATGAAAGGTGTGCATCCAAATGCAAATTCCCTTCTAAGATTTATTTGAGCAAAAGCAAACAGCTTTAGAAATTAGCATAGCTGAGGCTAACATGAGTTTGGCATGCCAAAAAACCTGCCCTGGAGTTTCCTGCTGAGCCAGCCACGTGGAATTCAAGCACACAGCTCCTATTTAATTCTAATTCCACATCAGATCAGGAAATAAATATGCAAAGGGATAGAGGCCAAAAACTGAGGCTTGGAAGTCTTAGACGTTGGAACTCTGAGGAATTACAAGCCAGAGTAACCCAACACCAGTGGTTTTATGCTGTCTTCCATGCGACTCGAAGGCGCTCATCTGTTCAAAGCAAAATGTAGGGAAGGACGTGTTTAATTTTCTGTATCTGCTCTCAACCCGACTCGATCCTACTCCTGGGTTCTATAGGAAAAGACAAAGATACAGAAAGGTTCTCTGCTTTCAAGGACCTAACCTATTCGTTCCTAAGCAGAAATGTACAGGAGAGATGAATTTTCACTTAGTCATATGATCTAATTCAGGGCTTAGCAACCTTTTTCTGTATAGGGCCAGGTAGGAATTTGGGCTTTGGAGTTGTACTGTCCCTATCACAACTGCTGAACTCTGCTATGGTCGCAGGAGAGCGGCCATGGATGATACATAAACAGATGGTCATGGCTGGGTTCCAATAAAACTTTATATTAAAAAAGGCAGTGAGCAGGATTTGGCCAGGGACATAGTTTGGTAACCCTTGCATCAGGTTGGTAAAAGTCTCATGATAACTGGAAGGTGAATAGTGTTTCTAAGAGTCAGGCTGTGAGCTTTGCCAAAGTCCTCTGTGGATAGCATAAGGGACAGTAACAAGGGCCAGGAAATAGTGGGGTTTTCAAGGTATGTGGTGAGCTCTGACAAATAGTGGGTGTTCCACCAACATTTGTTGAATAAATGAATACTATTCAAATTCCTGTTGCCCATTTATAAGACAGCACAGGCTACCTTGTTGTTGAATGAGTCCCAACCTGTCTGACCTTGACCATAGTCTCTCAGGCAGTTATGTGAGTAATTCTCTGTGGATAAGTAAAGTCCACAAATTATCCAAAGACTTCTGTCTAGTTAATCATTTCAATTCTTTCTTTTGCTAAAACTTTTATCAGAGTTGTTATTCAGGATAATAGAGTCGAGGCACTCGCACTGAGAGTTTTATAGCCATCTGTAGGTTAACATGGCATTCCTGAGGGGGAACTAAGAAATGGTAGATTGTCTAGAAGCAACAGGCCCCTCGATAATCAGCCCCCGAATAATTTAGAGTTGACTGTATCACGCAAGTGTCCACCTCTCAGGAGAGGAAAGATGGGGATCCGATGTGTGCTTTGGATTCCTGGAAAGAAAATAATGATTAGTGTTCGAATTATTGTTGTACTGTGAACTGGCCATGTGAAAATGTTAGTAATAGTACCTATGTTTGTATTAAATCCTCTACAGTTTATGAAACTCATTGATACTTGCTATTTTATTTAATTTGATCTTTACAGTAACCCTGGGAATTAGCATGTTTGGTAATATTAAATAAAAAACTGAAGCTCAAATTGGTTAAATGGCTTTATCAAGGTCACGTGATTTCTAAGTACTTGAGCCAAGACGAGTGTAGTACTAAGGTCTTCTGACTCCTAATCCAATACTTTTTAACACAGAGTTGCGCTTCTAGCAAGAATACTTATTAATCTGCTACTTCCCCAGTGACAGGGGATACAATTTATTCCTGCAAAAGGCTAGTTTTTAAAAGTCCACATCTTTTGGAAGACCTGATGAGTCCTCTCACCCTGAGAATCAGTGGTTCTGTGAACTGGGGTGACCTAGTAGGGGTGAAACCCCAGTTTGGTTTGAAAGTGATTTCCATCATGAGGCAAGCTGCTGCTTCTCTGAGGTACCAGAGGGCTCTGTCTGGTCAGGCGCTGGTTCCAGAGCGTGTTTCATGTACTCAGGCTGACCACTGGACCCCATCCACGTTTGGCAGGCTGTGGGCCCAGTGGAATACTCGTGATTGGGAACATGGTGATACCACATGCTCTTGGATTTCCACTCTCCTTTTGCACAGCTGCATACAGAAGTGTGGGTGTAGCTTACTTCTGTGCCTGCAGATCTGCTTTTCTGTTCCTGCCCCCTTTTTCTTTAGAGAAGGGGAACTCCCTGTGCTTTGGTGATCACCACAAGCATTGACCCTCCTTTGGCCACACATGTTTGCATCCGATTTTACCCGATTTCCGAGGCTAAGCTGCCCTGCCCCACTCAGAGACAGAATTTGGCCCTTGGTATTGGGTTTGTGACATCACAGTTGTTACTATGGTAATAGACTTGTTATAAACACAGGATAATAGCCCTGATTTCGCTCTTTTTTTTTTTCACTCTCCAAGCAGTGAAGGGACTCATCATAATCCTTAAATAAGAATCACAGACTTTTTTGCAGACTCTAGGAGGTCGACAGAATAAGGCTTTGCCATACAGAGCAGTCATTAAAAAAAAAACACTGTTATAAGAATAATATTAGAAAATAATTGAAAGTATTAACCGTCACCTTTTTATGCAAAGATTCATTTATTCTTTTAGTTTGAATGAATATGAAAACTCATTCTTTGCTAATTTTAAAAATCACAGCATGAGCATAGTCTGAAGTGGCAGGCTACCTATCAGCAAGAGTTTGAAAGATAACTCAGGTTAATTATATTGTAACCTTGCTGTAATTCTTCTCATATTAGAGATTTTAATATGAATCCAAGCCTTTGGGACTTCATTCAAAGAGAACTGTGCCAGTAAAGGGCTTTTCTGCATGAACCGAGTTATAGTGAGTCTCCATCAAAATACTAGGCCTGCCCTACTCCCCTGCAAGTTTGACTATTGAAGTAAAGACACTCAAAATAAGGACCTTACTAGTACATTGGTCTTTGCTGCTTTACAAGTGAAATAGCGCTCGGCTCCATTGATCTGCCATCAGTCCTCTGCAGTGGTTGGGCAGGTTTGGGTCTCCCCACTTTGTCTATCTCTGGTCAAAGTAACCAGCTGGGACTCGAACCAGGATTTTTATATCTCAATCTCAGACTTGCCCTATAACAGCGTTTTGCTCCCAAGAATTAAATAAAAAATCAATAAAACTATCAGAGTCATTACTTTCTTTTTCACGAGGAAAAAATGAAATGCAGCAACTTTCTAATGAAAGTTTTACCGAGCCCTGCTGCAGAAAACAGTGTATCTAGGAAACGGCATTTTAGATCTGAGTCTTTGGACAGGTTTTCCCAGAGGCTTACAAGTTGCCTGTTGTAAGCCCAGAATCCCTCTAAGTCCCTGATTACTTTTAAATGAAATGAAATGTGAAAGAAGGAGGGAATATATTCCTCTGGATGCATTTGTGTGGCAGTTTTGAATAAAACGTCTTTGACCTTAAATGGTAAATGATCATATTCTTATTCCCCACCATGTTCCTACGTGTGAGGTGGAGGGCAGGGCCCACACAGGACATGCAGGTTTGTGTGGAGGGAGATGAGATCAAGCCCCTGAGACCGGCTTGATTTCCTGTGTGCAGGAGCGTCTTGCCTTTCTTTGAAAACAATGACCATTTCCTGTCCTCCAGGATAGTTTGCTTTCAGTGAGCGTTCCAAATATGTGTTCAGGCATGGTCATGGAAATATGATATATTTTTTCAGGCAAATCTTGAAATTCTTAAGAGGTTATAGGAACGGGGCTCTAAGGAACCATTAGCTTAGCTGAGAATGTGGAAACATTCACGTGATCTGCTAAGCTCTATGTATAAAGCTGAGTAACCCACAGTTAATAAGCATGTTACTTT